CCCAACCCCGCACGACGGCAGCTAGACGGGACCGACGCTACGGGTGGGGTAAGCGACCTCGGCGGACACACCGGCGGGGCTAAGGGGAGCGGGGAGTGGAAGGAGCCTGGGGCGGGGTCCTTCTGGCGCCCGTGGACAGGTGCGTTACGGGGATAGTCCCCACCTGTCGTGGGAGGAACGCCACCGTTGTTCCCCCACTTAGGGCCCCGGGCTGGGACCCGGTGGAGAGGGTGGGCCCGGGTCCCCCACATCCTACTCCCTACTACGAAACCCCAACCTACGTACCCCCCGTCAGGGGGGTGAACAACTCAAGGTACAGTCGACGATGGAAACTGTGCCCTAAGACCCTAAGCAGCCAAAGCCCCCCCCCTTTTTCCGCCCCGGCGAGGACCTTGCCTCCGTACAGGCCGCCGGGTGCGACCCCGTCCCCTCGCCCATAGCGCCTGGGCGGACTAGGACCCCGGGGCTGCCAGAGGGTAGTCAGGACAATGAGTCCGCTGAACCCCGGGCCGGACTCTTGGCCGGGTGATCGCACTCGAACCGCGGGTCCTCACGCGGGGAACCCTAGACGGCGGGTCCACCGAACCCTCCTGCCCCGCCGGGAGGGGGTGTTCGCACCCACGCGAGCCGTCACACCCTCACTGGTCACCTGATCCCCCTGCAGCACCGAGGCCTGGCTTTGCAGATTAGAGGCTTGATGCGCACCCGGTCACGTCGCAGGACCAGCAGTCAGGAGACCTGAGCGCGTTTCTTGGGTCGGCAACCAACTCTGTGACCGTGAGCAAGACCCTCCGCTTCTCCCTCCGAGGCCAGACTGGTGAGAGCAGCGGTGCTCCGACGGAGGCTCACGACCGGCTCGCTGATAGGTCTCCTGCGGCTCTTTGCCTCACGATACTGAAACACTGGTTTAATTATTAACCAATCAGAGTGCTTCCATGGGGTTATTAACCAATTAAGTTATTCACCTGCACTAAGCTATTAACCTGTCGTCCTGTTTAAATAGGGATCTATCGCACTGTAGTAAATGGAGCAATGAATTCACACCGCTGTGGCTCTTCTGTGTCATGCTGGTCACTACCTTGGGCTCCTGAACCACTGAGGTGTGAGAATCACTGTGTTAGAGGAGCCCGGCTTGCTGGAATATGTGGTGGTTTGGTTTGGTTTGGTTTGGGGTTTTTTTGTCCATTACTTATAGTTCAGAAACCCCCGTTCTGCAGCTTTTTGGTGGTACATGCTCCTGGTGACCAGCTCTGGGCTTCTCCCTCGTGACTCAGTGTCCCATGGAACAAGGGAACCTCCCGTAAAGATTTTCCCATGCCCTGTATTCCTGACTGCTTCAAAACTGGCCCCGGGGGAATCCAGTTGTGACGGCGCGTTGGGGGTTCCCAGTCTCCTGCACCCCGAAATGGCACAAACAGACTGCACCAGCCAGCGGAATTGAGGGTGGTTTATTGCTCCTCCAGCACAGCGCAGCAGAGATGTAATCTGGTTACAGGAACTGGGGCTAAGAGGCCTCAGTGCCCCCCTTGAGATAGGGGAGTCCCAGCCCCCTCCCCAGCTCCTTCTTCCCTGCCTTCCAGCCAGCAACTAACTAACCCTCTTCCAGCCCTGCCCACAGCCAGGGCAGCATTCCACCTCCCTTTGCTTCTCCCCATGGGGGGTGTCTGGCCACTGGTTCATCAAGTTTGGCACTACCTTTGCATAGTGAGGCTTTCCCTGCTGGGTCTTGCTCCAGACAGCAGGGGTCACCACAGCCCAGCAAGGGTGCAGGGGTCAAGAGAAGGCGCTGGGAGTGGTCGTGTGGAGGGAGCAGACTTGCACAGAAGGGCAGCTGGATCTGTACAATAGACTTTGCACAGCCCTGAGCAACTTAATTCTCTAGGGGGGTTGTGGCTAAGAGCTAATTAATGCTGGGATTTGCATAGCACGGGCAGCGGGTTTATCCTAGGCTCTGGGAAGGGGGCGGGGTCAGGCATTACAAGCCAAAGGACACGGAAACTAGTTGAGTTGCCAGTTGGAATGTTCACTTGGGGATTTCCACTGTCCGAGCAGTTTGTACCGACAGGACATACTTGTAGCCAGACTTTCTTGTACTGTTAAGTCACTCGGCGACAGGGAGGGGGGAATATTCAAGAGCAGATGAATTAAGGCCCAAATGCCTGTTTTGCGGAGACCCATTTATCGTGGTCTTGAGCAGGGAGGCTGCTCCAGGTGTGGAAATGTTCGGAGTCCTTTAATCAGCCACAGAGCAGGGAAAACCATCCTCCCCTTCCTTCTCTACACCACAGCCTGTTCCTGGCAAGCATTCAACCACAGCTATAAATAGCTACAGTCGTCCAAAGAGGAAGCAGTGGTTCTGTGACATCACGGCCGATCAGCTGAAGTGTACACAGGGCAGTCACCCCCCTCCCGGACTTCCCTCAGTGACATCTGCGGCATGTAAAGCAAAGAAAGCCTTCCTCCCAGCTGATGTGTGCGGTGCGACACAGCCTCCCGGCCCTGACTCAGAGGAAAGCCCTTGTTTGGATTATGTAATGCTGTTGGCTCCGGAGCAACGTGTGTGCTTGCTGAGGGCTGTGTGCGTGGGATAGTGACCCTTGGCCTAGGGAGAACACGGCGGGGAGATCACTGCGTGACACCTGTCATGACGCTGTATTTCTGACCCAGAGATCAGGTCAGGCACCTCTGTTCAGCGCTGCTGGATTCAGCCTCCATCTACATCGAGGATTAACCTTGGTGCCAGCCACCAGTGCAAACCTAGGGCAGACGGCTTGAAACGGTTGTGGGATAGTGACCCTTGGCCTAGGGAGAACACGGCGGGGAGATCACTGCGTGACACCTGTCATGACGCTGTATTTCTGACCCAGAGATCAGGTCAGGCACCTCTGTTCAGCGCTGCTGGATTCAGCCTCCATCTACATCGAGGATTAACCTTGGTGCCAGCCACCAGTGCAAACCTAGGGCAGACGGCTTGAAACGGTTTGTCCTGGTGGAGCTCTGCCCTGCTTATGCAAGGGCAGGGGT